ATCAGAGGGTTTTGGGTCATGTGCAGGACTAATGTCCTTATCATGGAGGTTCTGTATCTTCATGGTGGGGTGACTGCCCTTCCCTGCTTTTCCTTCTCTGCTTTCCGCTGTGGGTGATCCGCCATGAAGGCCCTTGCCAGATGCCATTGCCAGGCTTCTGGGCTTCCCAGCCTCTAGAACCATGAGCCGAATCACTTCCTGTTCCTTGTAAATTGCTTGGTGTCAGGCACTCTGTTACAGAAGCATCAAATGAATGAAGACAGATAGCAGAAGTGAGAGCAGGGCCACTAAGTTGTCAACAAGCTTACACACCTCGGGCTTTGCAGGAGGCTGAGGGAGGACAACCAAGAAGACAGGCACCAGTGGGCTCCTGGGTGAGCTGCCTGTGTTGCTGCTCAGTGCTTCTGTGGCATCCCCACTTCACTGAGCTCCTAAGTCCTTGTAGCTTAAAGTGTTCATGAACTCCTGGAAGAAAGGCCTTCTTGACTCACTGGCTGACTTCCAGCGGGCTCAGCTTCCTCCCCTCCTGGTTTGACACCCACACCACAAAGACTGCACCTATCAGACCTGTGCTCTGGGTCCTTTTTCTCACACACTCTGGAGTCCCCTGTGCCAAGGCCACTACTGTAGTTAGACTCTGTGATGATGACTAGACCAAGGCCTACAGAGGGGAAGGAATCAGTGGGCCTGTGACCCAAGGCTAGGGCTGAGTATGTCAGCAAGGGCTGGACTTCAGTCGGTGGTGCTCCCCCCAGAACTTCCCCAACCAACTGCAAAAGCTCCTCTAACACTGGGGCATGTGGCTGGAAATTAGGAGCATAGAAGCTCCCAAAATACTTTCAAACCTGAAGCTAAGGATTGCCACCTCAGGGAAATAGGATGTAGCGAAATATACACAGCACCCCACTTTGGGCGCCCTGAGTCAGTGTCCCTAAGATTGGGGACCATGGGGGATCATCACCCAACCCTGGCTAGGGACAAGGGCCACCTGCAGGGGCTGGGAGGGGTTCAGAAGCCTTGGGGAGACTCCAGTGGCCCCATCTCCAGCGCCTGCAAGCTATTGGCAGTGGGCACACATATTCCAACCAGGATGGGCAGGGTGGCATCCAGCAAGCTACAGTCACAACTTTGGTGGGGCTACCTGGGTTGTGGTTTACACCAACTTGCTCATGTCTTAAACACTTTTGTATTTGTTTATTTTCACCAAAAAAAAAAAAAAAAAAAAAAAAAAAAAAAAAAAAAAAAAAAAAAAAAAAAAAAAAAAAAAAAAAAAAAAGAAGTCCAGCTTGAAGTTCTTTTTCCACTAGGAAATAAACATTGTATTGAGCTTGGTCAGCAATCCCAAGAGCTGGTCCCTAGGTCCCCAGGGCCTGGCCCCACTGCAAAGCAGTGGTTCAGAGTTCAGATGACCACAGTATTCCAGGATTCTGGGATGGGCAGGCACTGTCCCCAGGAGCAGCCTGGGAACCAGGAACATCTCAGTCCGCTGTGTGCACCATAAATTCCACAAACACAGCGCTCCACAAACTCCAGGCCCAGGCAATGAGTCTGGACCCTGAGTCTCAGCTCCAGGAGTAGCAGCCAACACACAGCTGATAGGGGGAAATCAAGTTCAGTTTTTATCAGTGTCTTACATTTGAAGTTTAAAAAGCAGAACTGTCCATCCAACAGTTTGGGAACTATCTGGGGAGGGAGGAGCGTCTGGAGAAGTCGTAGCTTGGGAACGATCCTGGCTCCTTCTGCCTCTGTAGGTAGTAAGTGATTCGTGATACCCACTGCAAGTGATATCCAGTGAAGCTTAAGGGCCAAGTACCAGGCCGCTCATGTGGTCTTTCCATTTATGCCACATTTTCATTGATGTTGCCAAAGATTCCAGGTGCAGCCTATGTTCTTGGATTAAATCCACACAGCAGCCTTTTCAGGATGCATGCCATGTCCACCCCATGGTGCAATGATGTTTGTGGATGTGTTCAGTCTCTTTTTGGTACCAGAGATGGAACTCGGGTCCTTTCATTTGCTAGGTAGGCAGCAGAACCACTGAGCTAAACCACCAGCATTCTTTTTAATGGAAACAAATTAGAATCACCTTAAATGTCTTTGTGTTGTGTCTTCACATGGCGGACAGTGAGGGCAGGAAGCAGGCTGCTGAGCATCTCCCTGTAAGTGTTCCAACCCCATATACGAGGGCCCCACCTTCTCCTCCAAATACCATCACTCTGGGGGTAGGATTTCTACATATGAATCGGGGGGTAACAAATAATCAGTCCACAGCAAAAGTTATTTCTACCTGTTTGATTCTGGGCAACTTGCAACTAAGACCCTGTCTCAGAATCAGAAATAAAAATAAAAACGGTGGGAGATGTGGCTCAGTGAGAAGCCCAGGATTTGGTCCCCAGTACCACAAAAGCAAACAAAAAGCTTCCGGTAGTGGCTGTGGTAGAGCTGGGGGTACAGTCCAGGCTTGGCATGTGTGAGGCCCAGGTTCCATTCCCAGCACCCAAAGAAAACAAGCTCTAACTGGTACTCAGAGCCAGGAATGACGCAGTCATGTGGCTTAATCCTGTTATGCAGCAAAATTCCCAAACAAGACAAAGGGGAAAACACACACACACACACACACACACACACACACACACACACACACACATTTCAGATTAGAAGTCACTAAACCTCATGTTGGCACAACTCCTATAAAAAAGAAACTGCCAGGGTGGGGGATTTAGCTCAGCGGTTCGGTGGCCTGCCTTGCAAGCGCAAGGACCCGAGTTCAATCCCCAGTACCAAAAAAAAAAAAGAAAGAAAGAAAGAAACTGCCACCTCCAGGAAAGTACCTCTTGGTCCAGCTGTAGGCTGTTTCCTTTTATCCTAGATAACCAACTCGTAGAGTTTCTCTAAATTCGATGATGCTTTAAATATATGTGTGTGTGTATATATATATATATCCAGGCATGGTGATGTACACCTGGTCTAAAATTCCAGCACTCTGGAAGAGTGACACAGGAGGATCACAAGTTCAAGCCCAGCCTGGGCAACACAGCAACTTTACTTTGTCTCAGAATAAAAACAAAAAAAGGGCCAAGGGTGGACCTCAGTGTGAAGACCCTGGAGTCAATCCCCAGTGCTAAAAAGCAAAAAAACAAAAACCTGGGCTGTTAGTGTCCCTCAGAGCTCTTGTAGGATTGTTCCACCCATGTGGCTGAGTTTTGGGCAACAGGTGCAGGCCTTGGGGACAGAACCAATCCAGCCAAATCCAGTCTTGTGGGAAGTAGAGAGGGAGGACAGGCATGGTGGTGGGACCCACAGCCATCTCATGCCTCTCCTGCTCCCCAAGCTCCACCTGAGAGTCTGCCGTGGTCCTCCAAGGTGAGGCATTGTGAGGGCAGAGACACAGCTCTCAGGAACCCCATCCTCAGCTGATCCCTCCATGTTCCAGCATGGAAAGGGAAATCACAGCAGCTTCTGTGAACCAGGTGTGCACAGGCACTGCCATCATCTTGTAACTCACCACAGGAGGAGCTGTGTGTGGCCAGGTCACAGACAATGGCCATAATGTTTCTGTGCCACTTTATTTCAGATGCTGTAGAGACACAACTCCCCGTGGTACTTAGTCATCTTGAGAAAGTATGTCTCCCTCTGGGCTAACGACAGACCTTGTTCTTAAAACACACTGTGCCCTGCCCCATCCTGGGTCTGATGAACATGGTGTCACCATGTGTCATCACAGACGTCACCCCAAGCTGGCCTGCGAGGGGCTGCACATTCAGGTTGACCATCCCTGATGGCTCTGATGCTATAGCTGCCTGCCCTTTTCTCTGCATCTCAGGGCCACCAACTTGGTTCCTATCAGGACATTCCAACTCGGACAGAAAACCAAGGGAAAAGTCCTGGCAGGGCTTAGCCACAAGACTGCATTCTGGGACAGGCCTCCCTGTGGCAACCCCAACCTGTCCCTCACTCATGGTTTCTTTGTGGGTTTCTCAGGGGCCTGTCCATGTCATGTGGCCAGGCCTGAACCTGTCACCAAGGCTATGGACTGGATATAGGGAACAGCTGCCCTTGCAGCCAGGGTGGGGGCACTGACAAAGTAGGGGGAAGAGAGCCCCCACAGAAACCAGGGCCTTTTCCAGCAGAAGGGTGAGCAGAACAGCCGCCTGGAGGGACACCAGCCTGGGAGGTATGTGGCTGGGCTGCTGCCAGCAAGCTGCTGTCCCTGCAGTCAGTCTTCCTCACATGAACACTGGGGTCCCGCACCCAGCTCATGGCCCAAGGGGACAAGAGGATGCCCCTGGGAACAGGCCTCGTGGCTTCTGCCCACCAGGTAGCTGGGGTGCAGGCTCCTGGCACCAGCTCAGTGCCTTCTTCCTTCCACCCTGCACTGGGGCAGCAGGCTGACAGCTCCCCCCACCCAGAAGGCTACAAGGGGTGGCTGTGTGTCATCTGTGCAGCCCAACAGTACCATGGGTAGTGATGGATGTTCACACTGCACTGTCCAGCTGGTGGCCATGGACACTGCAGCTACTGGATGTTTGAGATGAAGCTGCAATGGCTAAGGACCTGGATTCTTATGCAGTGTCCCTGAGCTTATGGCCTGAGTGCCACCCATGGCTGGGCACTGGATGAGGCACCACAGGAGGCAGGTGCATGTGTCAGGGAGGTGAGACACATGGCTGCTAGTGTGTGTCTTCAGTGAAAGCACAGGCTTTGTTAGTGCCACCTTCTGGAAGGACAGACCTGCCAACCCTCCTGGTGCTGTGCTTAGAATGAGTGAAGTGGAAAGAAAAGCCCAAGGGTGAGGGTGCAGCCTAAGGGTGAATGCCAGCCCAGCACAGCACAGGACAGGCCGAGGATCAGTGCCCAGCATCGGGGGCGGGGGGATAGCATCCACCAAAGCATTATCCTAGAAGGAGAATGAACAAAATAAAGCTTTATTTGAATACCCCTGTGTATCACTTGAGAGCCAGAGATTCAAGTGATCTCATAACAACACCATGGCTCCTCTGGGGCCTGGTGCATGGCTCAGCATTATTAGTGGTAATGAGCGCCATTGCTCAGTGTTGTGCGTACTGCAGCCTCTGCCACCTTGGGGTCTTGGCGTGCTCACCCAATTGCCCAGAGCCAATGCAGAGAGGTCCCAGCAGGTGTGCAGCAGCCAGACCCTGTGAATACCCACACATCCATGGGGTGCACAGGGGCACAGCCCCTAACTGCCCCACAGCCTTGGTCTTGCTCACCAGGCCTGGCTCTCAACAAGCACTGAGTGACCTGACCCACATCAGTTTGTGATCTTCAGGACTTAAGGCACATTGAAAAGGGGAGCTTGGAACAAAGCGCATGTCTTACGCTGTGGCCTCTGGCTCTCCCTTTCCCTAAAACAGGAGTCCAGTTAAGACCAAGCTGCCATGATGTTCACCTGAGTTTTCCCTGACTTTCTCCTGAGATGCATCGAGCAGAAAGCAAATCCTGCTGGGTTACAGCTCCAAGGAACAAATGCCCCCAGAACAGCTGCAGAGCTCAGGAGTCAGGGGTCATCCATTCTGAGAAGACACAGACCAAGGTCAGGAGGGACAGACATGGGACATCGGCACAAAGTTTCCAGGACAGCAGACAGACAGGGGCAGAGACATCTGACCAAATTTCCAGATTTGCTAACAGGCGCTGGAGAATGGGCCCTTCTCACTGATGGAGCCAGAGATTTGCCTGACTCTGCTACCGTGTGTGGGGGGTGGGGGGTGGGGAGTGCCCTCACCTCACAATGAAGCCCTAGAACAGTGCTCTCCCAAATTCAAGAATTCAAAGAGCATAGCCTCTGCCTTTTGCCTCTGGAAACTTCTAAAGAAATGGGGTTGCCCCAGTGCTGGGCCGCAGATGCTGCTGACATCCAGGCCTGGAAACTGAGCCCAGGCAAGCAGCACAGAAGCTACTGTGTGTGTTGGCACCCTGGCGGGTCAGGCTCCGGGCCCCCAGAAGGAAGAGAGGCTCCAGGCTGGCTTCACATTGAGGGTGTGGACTGTGCACTGGGATGTCCTAGGGGGCAAGGGAGGCCTGCACTCACTGGGGCGAGGTCCGAGCTTGGGTGGAGGCCACATCCTATTTGGCAGCTGCCCGCCTCTCTGTATGTGTGTGGAAGGCACTCAGGATTTCCTCAATGATGCTGGGGTCCTCCAGGGTGGTGATGTCCCCCAGGTCCTGGGTCCTGCCTGTGACAATCTTCCTCAGGAGCCGCCGCATGACTTTCCCAGAACGGGTTTTGGGAAGACGCTTCACCACCTGGCAAGATGGTGCAGTGTTAGCACGATGCCCTGGGGTGAGGGCCATGCTCAGGCTGACACCGCTCGAAGGTCTCTGGCTCACCCTACTGCCTCCTGGGCCTGAAGCTGAGACCAACCAGAGGGCAGGAACGACCCGTGGGCAGGTCAGCCACAGCCCCTGCCAGTGTCACGCTGACCTCAGTGATGTCACCACCCGCATGTGGGCTCCAGGACAGTAGACCCAACCTCTACCCTCTCCCAACCTGTGACTTCGATTCTTGTCTTTCAAGTTTATAATTTTGTTTTGTTTTTTGTACCAGGGATTGAACTTGGGACCTTGTGTTTACGATACAGGCGGCAGAACCTCTGAGCTAAATCCCCAGCCCTCGGTTCTTGTCTTTCATGAAAGCTGAGAGCAACTTCACAGAAAAAAGTGTGAATATTTAATAATAATTAACATTTTCAAGTGGCCACAGCCCATCTGGTGCTACTCAGTGGTAGTAGGTTAGGAGCTGTCTGGGGATGCAGCCCAGCACCTCTCAGATGGTTAATAGTAACTCTGTCTGGGACACAGTCCCATTCACCCAGCCGCTCCAGCTGCCAGGCCAGCCAGGACAACACCAACCCACGCTGGGCCCCCTGCCCCAAGCTCCAGCACCTGAGAACTGCTCAGGGTGCCAAGGAGTGGGGAAAGGAGGCACTAGGGCCCAGGTGGCCCTACTCTGCCCAGGGCCAATGGTCGCTCTCCTCGCTGGCACCAAAGAAATTGAGAACCCACATGCGGGGAGAACTCTGGTATTTTCCACACGTCTCTGTTAACTGTGGGATTGTTTTGTCTGGTACTGGGGATCAAACTCGGGACCTTGCGCTTGCGAGGCAGGTGGCGGCACCACTGAGCTAAATCCCCAGCCATCCATGCCTCTCTATTAAAACTTTAATTCAGGTGGGGAATGAATGGCTCAGTGGGAGAACATGTGCCCGGCATATGCAAGGCCTTCAGCTCTGCTACCATGTGGAGCTGGGAGTCCCCCTAAGCCCACATGTTAAGGTGTCATGCTGAGCCCATGGTTGCTGGGATATGGTGGCCTTTGAGGGTTGGATCCTCTCTCCCCTCTGCCTCTTGGCCCCAAACATCGGAGCCCACCAACCTCCCACTGGAACTCTGGCAACAGGAGCTACAGCAAGCTTTTCTGCCTTCTAAATTGCCTCAGTTATTTTGACAGAGCTATCGGAAGCTAACATAGAATCACAAAAGGAAAATAAAATCCCTAATTATCTTCAACACCAAATCCTGGACCTGTATTCAACAGCCACAGGCCAAAGTCTCACCCACCCTCAGGGAACCCAGCAAATCACCTGTTTGTTGTTTTGTTTTGTTTTGCTGCACTGGGAACTGAACCTGGGCTTCATGCTGAGTTACAACAGCCCTAACACCTTTTTAAATCTTGAAACAGGGCCTCTCTAAGTTGTCCAGGCTAGGCTCAAACTCTCGATCTTCCTTGCTCAGCCTCACAAGTAGCTGAGATCATAGGCACAAGCCACCAGGGTGATGTGCTTGTCAGAGGTTATCATCACTGATGCCTGTAGGATATGCAGGAGGGGATTAACGAGAGCAGGGGGTCCCCCTGAGGCAACCACTCACCAGGATCTGATCAGGCACAGCATATTTGGCGATCTTGGTGGCCACTGCCAACTTGAGCTCATTCACCACCACATCCACATCACCAGCCTCATCCTTCAACACGATGAAGGCAAACGCAGCTGGAAGGAAAGCAGAGGTTTGGGAGTACCACAGTGACATCTGCCCAGCCAGGTACTGGGTGCCACCTGCTATCAGTGCAAAGGATTTGTCTTGCTGTGTCGACCAGACTACTCTTTAGATCCTGAGGTCAAGCAATCCTCCTGCCTCAGCCTCCCAAGTAGCTGGGACCACAGGCATGTGCTGCCACACCTGGCTCCAAGGGACCTCTAAACCTTGTGTTGTTAACACTGTGGCAGCTTCTGTCTTTCAACTCCCCCCGCCTTATAGTGCATTTCTGACACACACAAAGTGGCAGTGGTTCCGATAACGCCATGGGTGTGCTGGCCAGGGAGCCATGCATGGCTAGGAGCTCAGCACTGCAGCAGGTGCTGACGGCCACTGTGACCCAGCTCAGGTGACTTACACTCACCCCTCAGCTGTGACAGTGTCCATGTCAGGGCTGACAGGACACACACACAAGACAGTGCAGATGTGGCAGGCATGGTCTTGAACACCGAGGCCACTGGAGTTCAGATTAACCTGAAAACACTCCCCTCAGCTGCTTCCGCTGTCTCAGCACTATCACAGTGGTGCTGGGCAGCCCCAGTCAGCACAAACATCCATTTTGTCAACATCCCAGTGGCTCCGGAAGAGCCGTGCCTGGAGCCCACAGTCCCCCTGGACCCGACGTCTGTCCTCCACGAGTCCCCAATTCCCCCACATCACAGCCCCACTGCCACAGTGCTCCATGATGCCCACACCAACCCTGCTTCCTCCTCATCCTCCACACCTCTCACCCATGTGCACGGTTCCCTCTCCAAGCTGACTGCTGTTCAGGTCTGCCTCTCCCACCTCTGCGCCACCTCCCAGCACAGTGGCCATGACGGTACAGACCCTGTCTTGCTCTCCACTGTGTCCCCAGGAGAGAGACCAGGCCGCAGCACGGCAGAAGCCCTACCGATGACCACCAGGGTGACTGTGCCTGCATGGCTGGCTCTGCAGCAGCCTCAGCTTCTGCCTGAAAGGCTCCCATCTCCACCCAGCAAACTCCTACTTACCTCTTAAGACCCAGTCCAGCCTTGATGCCCTGTGGAGGCTTTCCTGACCCTGAGTCTGGCTGTGGCCCTTGCCCTGTGGGGATGGGCATCACCCCACCTGCAGGCTGTGAGATCTCTGATGGAAAGAACCCAGTGCTCCTCGTCCTGGAGCTGAGATGGGGATGGAGTGGCCTGGACTGTGGAGTCCTCAGCCGGAGAGGGGAGGAGACATGTAGATGGAGGCAGGAGGCTGAGGCCAGAGGAACGAAAACCCAGCCAGGATCAGGGGGCCGAGTCGGAAGCAATCTCAATCTGGGGCTCCCCTCCCACAGATCATGTGCCAGCCGGAGAAAGAGAACAAATTTGCACGGTGTACAGACAGAAGTGGTACAGGGTCATCCACAAATTAAAAGCAAACAGATGCTCCAGTACCTTAGAAACCAGGAAACAGCACAAAATCCCCACTGTTGGCAAGTGACTGACCCAGGCCTGCTCCGGACAGGAGAGCTACTCTAGCTGCAGATGGGCACTGGCAGCTGGGATGCTCACCCAGAGATTCTGCCCTGTGCCCTGAGCCACGGCAGCAGACACAGCACCCATCGCAGACCCTCATGTGATGGCTATAGTCCTCCCTCCAGGCGGCCTCTCTTGGTCCTGCACTCTCCCCTGGGGTTCACCCAGAGGAACCACGGGAACAATGCCAAGCTGAGGTCCTTTGTGCAGCCCCAGGGCCCTCTGTGGCTCCCAGCACCCAAGCAGCCAGCACAGCTCAGCTTTGATCTACAAAGGTCCAGACCTGTGACAACCTAGCAGCCCAGCCACTGTGCAAATCACAGACCTTGCCAGTATGGGGCCCACGGGTGGGACACGGGTCACCCTGCCAGGCTGGGCAACTACTCCTGCCTCTGTCCCTATTCTGATTAGGCCTACAGAAGGCCTCTGCTGAGGCAGCCCCTACAGATTTCATCACAAAGCCACAGTGACCCTCCTCCCCACAGCTGTTTCGAGCCATGGAAAATGCTCTTTCTGAAGCTTGCACAGATTTTAAAATTTACAATAGGTCAATTTAAAGAAAATATCTGAAGGAATAGGGTGTATAGGGCAGTAAGACCTATCCTCAGAATGTACAAAGCACCAAAACAAAATAAAATACAGAAACCTTCTGAATAAATACTGCACAGAGGTACACGATGGCGCAGGCAGGCAGGTGATGTTTAGTACAAGCTGTGATCCAGTGAGCCACAGAAGAGCAAGAAGTCTCTGTCCCAGGCCACAAGGCAGGGAAGGCATGGTCAGTGTACCCAGCAGTGACCTGGCATGGGGTCAGTGTGCCCAGAGGTGACACGGCAAAGGGGTGGTGTCCCCAGAAGTGACCTGGCTCAGCATTGGTGTGCCCAAGAGTAGTGCACCCAGCAAAGACCCAGCATGGCGTTGACGTGCCCAGTGGTGACTGAGCACAGGGTCACAGCAGGCCAAGCAGCTTACAACATGCAGGCACTCCTGCCCATGCCCAGACCCTGGGGACTTGGGCCTCATTGGCTCTAGAACCAAATGTGTCCTGGGAGAGGAGGCTGTTCCACTCATTCCATGTCCCCAGAAGGTGCCCATGCCAGTGGGAACACAGCCAGGCTTCTCCCCAGTCCAGGTGCAGCCAAAGCCTATGACAGGCTCTCCCCTGCATCCCACCTGCCACTGAGCCGGCAGGGCAGAGGGGAGAGCCAAGTGGCTGGACAGCTCAGGAACACTGTGTGACAAGACATAGATAATGCCCAGACAGAGGGCCAGCACCACAGGACAAACTTCCCAAGCTCAGGTAGGGTTAACTGAGCCATGGCTCCCATCCGGACCCCCATCAGAACCCCAACCTCCCCACCACATGCTGTCAGCCTCCTCATCCAAAACCTCTGCTTGGGAGAGAAGAAGAGCAACAGCTCTGCCCTGCAGACCTTGTCACCAGTGCTCCAGCCCACTCTGTTTAGGGGGCACCCATGGCAGGCACCAGGTTGGCATCAGTGAGGCTGCTCAAGGGGCCACTTACCTTCTCCTTTGATGTCATGGGGGTAGCCTATGACAGCAGTCTCCGGCACAGCGGGGTGGTCAGCCTGTACCACAGAGAGCAGGGCAAAGTGGTGAGTCCCATGGCCTAGGGGTGGCTCAGGTCATATTCCCACCCCACTCAGAGGCCAACAGCATCATGGCAGTGCCAGAGCAAAGCAGAAGCCAGGCTGTGCTCACCATGGCATCCTCGATCTCTGCAGTGCCCAGGCGGTGGCCACTGATGTTGATGACGTCATCCATGCGTCCTGTGATCTGGTAGTAGCCGTCCTGGGTTCGGTGAGCCCCATCTCCAGTAAAGTAGTAGCCTGCAGTCCAGCAGAGGACTCACTCAGGAGCCCTGAACTCTGGCCCTCTGTGGTAGGGCCCCATCCTGGCCACAGGCTGCAGGCCAAGGCTGCCATCCTGGCCTGCTGGCCCTCCTCATAGTCTCCCTGTAGTCCCAGCCAAACCTCCCAAGCAGGCAGCTGGTGACACCTGACTGCAGACACGGAGAGGAGAGCAGAATGGGCACATCTGAGGAAGCCCAAAGAGCCTCAGGACAAGCTTGAGACTGGAAGTCATCAGTTTCAACAAGACAAGGTGGCATTCGTATAACTTCCAGCCCAATAGCACAACAGCTGGGAAAGCACAGACACAAGCTGCAGGAAATCCCTAGTCACAGCCACTGTCCACAGTGTTTCCTCCATTCCCCTCTGCTAACAGCCAATGGGGCCACCCCGGCCCAGTGCTCACTGACCACATACTCACGGCCCTGGCCCACAGAGGCCCAAGGTGGGGCTGACTCCACATTATATGAGCCTCCGTGTACCTGTCCTTCACCCCCATGCCATGCTGCCCACCACTGCCATTCCTGGGATGTTCTGCAGAACACAGGCTGGGCATAAGGGCCACTCCAGCCGCTCACCTGGGTAGGCCCTGAAGTAGGAGTCTATGAATCTCTGGTGGTCACCATAGATGGTCCTGGCCATACCTGGCCAGGCCTGGGCAATGCACAAGGCCCCAGAGACATCGCCACCCTCCACCACGTTGCCCTGCAGACCCAGAAGACAGGGTGAGAGAGTTAGATGTGAGAATGGACCATCGGCATCATCTTCCTCACTGCTCGACTGCAGCAGAAAGATGACAATCAGATCCAGAAGGCGCCCAGAGCCTTCCTCCCAAAAGCCCGGGGATTGCCCCCCACAGCGATGTCATCAAGACAGCACCCTGAGAGGTCTGGGAAGCAGGCACTGGTGTGTGGCGAGGGATAGCAGGGGACTGGCCTGTGCAGGGCCCATGCACCTTCTCATCCATGAGAGTGGGCAAGATGCCAAAAAAGGGCCTCATGGCCATGCCAGGGAGGATTTCAGCTCCTTCTTCTGAGGGCCGGGGAGCGATGCAGATGCCACCAGTCTCTGTAAGAGAGGAGAGGAAATACTGGTTGGCTGGGAGCCCAGACTGCGTCCCCAAAGGGCACTGGATGCCCACTGTGCTCGTCAGAGCAGGGGTGGGGAAGGGTTAACCCCAGTAACCCCGGGACCTCTGTCAGGGTAAACATGGCTAAGGCCCCTCAGTGTGAACACAAGGGGGTGATCAGGTGGGTGCAGCCCTGGACCCACCCTGTGGCCAGGTGTCATGTCTCTGGGACCATGCTGGGGCCAGGTGCCATGTTTCAGGGCCTTGTCCTGCAGTAGGGAACCTGTGAGTCCCTCTGCCCCATGCCACCCTCCAGATTTGGCCCCCACCTTCTGAACCAGGAAGGGCAGAGCCACCTGCTTGCACAAGAAGGACTGGCCTGGCCAGTGCCCACTTACACCCATAAGGCCTAGCCTCACACTGCTCTGGCACCTGCCTCTGTGGCCTGGATGGACACATCCCTGAGAGGAGGAGTGCAAGGTCCCTACCCAGTCAGAGAGGACCACTGTGGCAGCTCAGGGGATAGTGTCATCATCTCTGACACATCCAGAGAGTCAGACACCTGAGAGAGGAGGGGAGAAATCAAAACAGTGTCCCACAGAAAGCATCCTCTCCTGCTAAACCCAACGGGGACTTGAGACTCTGGGATGACAGGTCCACCCCCGCTACAGAACTGTGCTCAGTGGACTCCATGCCAGCACCCCAACAACAAGGAAGGGGGCTGCAGAGAGAAGGGAGCCCTGTGTGCTCATCACACCAGGCTGGACCACAGCCTGTGCCAGCACATTCCGTCCATACTAGGCCTGGGGGCCCCTATGTCACAGGTAGGGAAACTGAGGCTCTGAGAAGTCCTCACTAGGGTGGAACAGCCACTAAGCACAGCTAGGCTGCATCCTGGGTAGTGCAGTGAACTCTGCCAATCCGGCTCCAGGAGCCCCAGCCCCAGTCTAGATCCCCAGATCCTAACCCAGAGGAAACCATCCTAGGAGTCCAGTGCTTGCTGGGAACGCTCACCTGTCTGCCACCAGGTGTCTACCAGTGTGCACCTGCCATCCCCTACCACCTTGTGCAGCCATTCCCAGGCCTCGTGATTGATGGGCTCACCCACTGGAAGGACACAGAGAGCGAGAGCTTAGTGCCATACAGAGGCCAGGGGCCACTGGGCAGCTACTGGGAAAACCACTCTGAAGTTTCTCCAAATGTCATCTGAGGAGACCTAGAGAGACTGAATCATCATATTTAGCAGAGAAACACAAGCAGCTGTTACAAGGTGCAAAGGCAAAAAGAGTGCAAGAATGTGGGGAACAGAGTGTCACACACACCATGCAATTTGGGGGAGGTGATCAAGACATTTCTTCTAATACTTAGGAGAGCACATGCTCAAGGCAACTACTTAACAATAGTCGGGGAGCAAAGTCTACTAATACTAAGCTCATGTTTTTTCTGTTATCCCAAAATTTGACTCTGGACATGTGCTCCACAGAATGAAGTGCAGCCGGACACCAAAGTGAGCACACAGAATGGCCCCACAGCCCTGTCCACCAAAGGTGGAAGCCACAGACTCCCTCAAGGGTGTACCAGTTGATAATGGCAGAGCCTGCACCGGATACCACACAGCATGAGGGCATGCACTGCTCTGCCCACACCATGCAGCCTTACGCCCATCTGCTGACCAACGCACATGAGGCCCAGGGCCCCCGACCTAACTCCTCGTGTCCACCTGACACACCCACCCTTCTGGCCACACCCTCTGCCCCCACCCCAGTGTGGGCGCTCACCCGAGCCCAGGGTGCGCAGAGACGAGCGGTCATACTTCTTCACCCAGACATCCCCGAGCTTCAGGAGCAGCCGGATGGCAGTTGGGGCACCATAGAACTGACTGACCCCCAGCCTCTGCACCATCTCCCAGTACCGACCTGCAGGAGGCCAAACACAGTCAGCAAGATGAGCCAGATACAGGTGTGTACAGATGTCTGCCCATGGTCACCAAGAAATGCTCCCATCCTCTGGGAAGGGGTGACACGTCCTCCCTGTGTGCTGCACATACCTCACAGTTGAGCCCCCTGCCCAACAAGACACCTGGCCCTGGAACCCTGCCAACCCCACCATTCCCTGCAGGACCAGAATACAAGTACACCTAAGACACAGCCCTGTTCACATCCTCTCCTGACCCCCAGACTCCCTACTTAAAGAGAGGCTCCGGGCCACGCACAGAGCTGGGCAGCCATGAAGTCTGTGGACCTGGACTTGACGAAGGGGTGGGCTGACCAGTGAGGCAGTCTCAGAAGCAGGAAAGACTAGGCTAAAGGATTCCAGGGCAGCCGGCTTAAAGTAAAAGGACAGGAACCTGGAAGGGTGGCATGAGATATGGTGTTGCCTGGCTCCTTGTCAGACTCTGCCACCTCAGTGCCCTGCAGACAGCTTCCAGCTCCCATCTACCCACAGGTTCAAGGCTGCCAGTTCCGCTATTCCCTTGGCATATGGTTCTCAGGACCACAAGACCTACACCTCTCCTGCATCTGGCCCTGCCACCCAGAACAGGTACCAGATGGGGTCCTTACCAGCATTGGGGTAGACTGGGGTGCTCTCAAAAAGGATGCTGGTGGCACCATTGCAGAGGGGTCCATATACCACGTAGCTGTGTCCTGTGATCCAGCCAATGTCTGCCACACAGCCAAAGACATCGCCTGGCTGATAGTCAAACACAAGCTGCAGACACAGTGGGGGGGGCATCAGATGGTGTCCTTCCATCCCCACCACATTCCCACATGTCACTGACACAAGGTGGAGCCTGCCCAGTGGTTCAAAACTGATAGGCAGCCACTCATAGCCACCAGCAGCAGGTGACTGGGTGTCACAGAGGTGTGCACAGGACTTAGCAGGGAAAGACGATTACTGGACACGTGGCAGCAGAGTGAGCCTTGCAAATGTGCATGGGTGATAGTAGCCAGGTGCAAGCGTGCTGCCACACTCAGAGCAGATGTGCACAGCCAGGCAACGCTGAGCCATAGGAGAGGGGTGGCTCTGGGGACTGCAGTGAGAGGCTTGAGGGGCTCCCCAGAGCCCAAGCTGTCCCGGTCCTGAAGCAGGCATGCAGCAGGAACTTCATCCAGCTCCTGCATGGCTGGTAACATTCCATTTGTTGACCAGAATTTGGTGTTTGCTCAAATGACTCACTGAGCCACACATGTGGTTTGGGTGGTTTTCTGTATGTGTTTTTAAAAGACTGCTTTTCACTCTTGGTGAATTGTTGCCAGGGTCCTGCCCCTGCAGACCAGCAGTCAGTTCACCCTGGAGTTTGCAGGCAGCTCAGTAGGGCTGTGAGTGGCCAGGCCCCTGAGGAGCTGTTTGTCCATGTGGAAGAATGAAGTTTTGTTTGCTGGATAACCAAGTCATCCTTATCCATACAGCATGGAGCTAAAGGGATTAGGAATTCAACTCGGATCCACATTGCCAAGCCTGTAGTTCCTGAAGGGAGACCAGATGCCTGGGACTAGTCACTCCCCAGGGGACCCACAGCCAGGCAGCTCCCTGACCCCTAGTGCACACCCCAATATCCTTCAGAGTCAGCAGCCTTTTCCCTAACAGCCCAAATTCCCTCGTCACAAGCATGCATATACATACACATAAACACATGTGCACATACATGTGGACAAATACATGCACACACAGGTGCACATGCAGGCACACACATGCGTGGCAAACAAGCACGTGCACAAACATGCTTGTGCACAAGCTCACACACTAGAACCCACAAGCACTGTGACAGTTCATCCTGACTGTCAACTTAACTGGGGACAGAAAGAGCACACTCCTAGGTGTGTCGGGGTGGGTCCCAGAGGTGTGACCCCAGGGACCACGTCCAGTTCCTGGCCCTTCCTCTCTGGTTCTCCCCCAGTGTTCTGCTCACAGCTGCCATGAAGTGAGCAGCTCTGCCCCGCCATCCACAATGCTCCGGCCTTAGCATCAGCCTCTCCTCCTTCCAGTTGCCAGTGGCGGCAACAATACATTCGTCCAAGGCAGGGCACAACTGTCACCTGAGCTCGGGGTGGCCCAGCTGTGAGGACTGTTGATCCAACTTACAGCTGAGAACACGGGCACAGGCAGCTGCAGCAGCTGTACCAGCTATACCGGCCACAACAGAGCAGAATCCAGAGCACACAATGTATCCAAACAATGCTGCTCCCACATGTCACCGAGCGGGTGGGTCACATGGCTGTCTGTGATCCTACGGGTATCCCAGGCTCCGTAAACCCCAGGCCTGAGTGTTGTGCCCAGCACAGAGCTGCCCCTCAGTGCTAACAAGCAAAATGATGCATGCTTCCCTTTCCTCAGCCATTCACACTCAGTCTCATCCACAGGAGCCTGACGGTGCCTACGCCTGATGCCCCAAAAATCTCCAAGTATGGAAGAGAAATTCAAAAGATGCCATCCTGTCCCCGTAGCCTCACATTTCTTGCTCATGTCAACAGTGTCCTGGAAACACTCTGAACACACAAGGATGAAGTCCCACGCCTGCTTACAGCTCCCTAGTGTACATTTTATATAAATAATGCAAAGAGATCTCTCCGCATTCAGTCCCAGGGGCTACTTTCCAAGTGTCTTGCACAATCTGCACATCTTTGCAGCGTCCCACCACCAACTGGAAGAGGGGGTGGTCAGCTAAGAAAAATCAGGGTTGAGAAAGCTCTGCGTTTTTTAGGGTTGTGACCTCTGTGAGGTCAGCTAGCAGTAAGTGGCAATGATGTCACCATGGAGCTCTATGCTCAGCCTAACGCATGGTCTGCTCGGCAGCCCTGCAAGGTGTCTGTCTAGCCTCTCTCCATCAGTGTCCTCACCACTGGCCCTGCATCTGTCTGTCTGCCTCTCCATCAGGTATCCTCCACACTGTCCCTACGCAGCATCCATCTGTCTGCCTCACTGTCAGTATCCTCAAAGGGGGGCTACATGCTGCGCACATGCAGGTGCCAGGTGGCCCTGTCCCAGCATCTGCTTCTCCTTCCCCATGACCCTTTTACTTTCTGTCCCAGGGATCACCTCCCATGTGACCCAGATAGGCCAATCAGCATTTCAGTCCCACTTCGATCACTGCCCACAGTGACCAAGTCAGAACTGGACCTGGGACTCCAATCCGGCCAGGACTCTACTGCGACCACGCTGCCCTGGGTCAGCCCAGCTGAGGAACAGAAGCCTGACGAAGTACCTTGTCTGTGTGGTGAAAGATGGCCATGACAGGGACAGGAGCCATCAGCCAGGATGGCATCCAAGCTCTGCCCACATGGCCAGGGCTTGCAGGCCACATGAGCCTGTGAGTTTCCTTTGTTGCTGCCACCAGCAGATGCTGAGGAGGCCTGGAACAGGATCCCGTCTACAGGTGGTACCTTGAAATTCAAGCCCACCTGGGAAGTACCAGGTAGTACCCAAAGTTGCCAAGGATGCCCTGAAAAACCACAACCCCACATGTTTTCTTGAATGCTGATTTGCAGATGCATTTATTGGAATAAAAGCCAGGCTCTGTCATTTGCTTCTGTATCCCAAGAGGGTTACACACTGTAATGTAATTTCTACACACTAAATGTAAATTCCTTTATAATGCTGTCTTTTTAAATTTTACTTTTAAAATGAGTAGGGTCTAGACTCCACAAATCTTTTAGGGGTCTACAAAAATGTTTTCTCTTAAAGACAGAGGAAAAAAGTAAGCCTTTAAGTGAGGAGCATGCCTGAATTTTTATGAGCATCTGTATTCATCTTTATCCCATTCCAGTTTTTAGATTCTTTTCTCCCTCATGGATGGGATTTGAATCCAGGGCCTCCCACACATGAGGCACACTCTTTACCACTAAGCCACATCCCAGCATCATAGATTTGTGTTGTTTAGGTTCTTTCATTTGCAATACAATCCTAAGATGCACTTTTTGACACTTTATGAACATGAGGAACCCATGAAGGCAGAAACTAGAGCAGCAGCAGCCTGGGAGTCAGAGCAACCAAGGCCCTGTCCCAAAGTGGAACCAGAGGACCCAGACTCCTCTCACATACACAGTCCCACCCCTCTGCTGTAGCATCACCGTTCATGTGGCCCTGTTTGTAAACACGGCACACCACACACCAAGCACCAGCCCCGCACCTACCTTGTGCGTCAGGGCGGCGTACAGCAGGTAGCCCGCCTGGGTGTGCACCAGCCCCTTGGGTGACCCAGTGCTCCCCGAAGTGTACAGCATGAAGAGCATGTCCTCACTGCCCATGCTTTCTGGGATGCACACGGGGGCCTCCTGTGCCATCTCCTGAAGGGGAGAAGTGCAGAGATGACTCAGCCTGGCTCTGTGAGCAACCCCTGCCCCAGAGAGCACCTCCCTGGTTCCCCAGGCTCAACTATAGCAGACACAGAATAAAAAGACGGATCTGGGCTGGGGATGCAACACAGTGGGAGAGCATGTGCTCAGCAGGCATGAGGCCCTGGGTTCCATTCCAGTACCAAAAAGGAAAGGGGGAGGCCGGTACTACAGGGGAACCCAGAATGACAGCCACAGCCAAACAGGCCCCAGACCCAGTTCACCAATAAAACTCATCCCCAAACCACATAAAGTGGGGCAAACCTACCTGCTCAAGAGGGACATCCAGCACCCCCATGGGGACCTTGTTCTCTGTCCTGTGTGCCACCAGGACGTGCTGGACTGTTGGGCAGTTCTTCACGGCTTCATCCACTATTTTTTTCAGCTCTACCACACGTCCTCCCCGGAGTCCTTGGTTGAAGGTAATGACCACTTTGCACTTGGCTAACAGAGACAGCAGTGACACGTTTGATCAGTCTCCTCCCTGCTTCAACCCTCAGCCTGCTTGTGGCCACACGTCCAGGCCTCAGAGTGTACTGGAGAGTGTCTACCCAGAGTAGAAGAACCAGAGACACAATCCTGCACCAGCAGCATGGCACAGCATGTGAGGCCTGGCCCACTGGAGGCGAGTGAGGAAGGGTCTGAGACAAGGCACAAAAGCGTCACTCTCCTGGAGCACGAGTCTCTCACCTCCAGCTGTCTCATCCTCCTGACACAAGTGTCTCCAGGCAGGCTACCCACAGCAACTGTGGTGACAGAGAAGCTCGAGAGGCAGAGATCAAGCCCGAGGCGTTCCCTGAGACAGGCCCTGTCCAGGCTGATTTTTAGCTCACCTGCTTTTAACTCATAGTCCACCGGGAACAGAACAGAGGTGCCACCAGGATGGATGCCCAGGAGCAGCCTGCATGCCCTTACCTTGAGGGGAAGCTCCCAGGCCATACCTGCTCGTCAGTGACCCTGTCAGGAGAAGCCAGGCCCAGGGCTATGCTAAGGGACCCGACCTTCCACAACCAAGAGAGGGCGAGGCCAGCAGAGGGAGTGAGGACCACACACCCTAGGCCTGAGACCCATAGGCAAAAGAATCACTCTCAGCCCTGCAGCCACCTAGGAGGACCCAGAGGGACTAAGGCTGTGGTGGTTATTAGTCTCTGAGGAGGATTCAGGAGCAAACAACAGGTATAGAAACAGCATAGCAGGTTCTCTTCCACAGCCACAGGCCCGGGGTCCTCTAGTCAGTCTGAACCAGGGGCCTCTTCCAGAGCCATGAGTGGAGGTGCTCCCCAAGCAGCTACTCTGGAGAGACGTAGTGTGAACACCCAACTCCTCAGCCACAAGTGTGCCAGCTTGATCCATATGAGCTATACAGTGGGGCTCCCTGTGGATGAGGCTCTGTTCTCACTTCTCTCTGCCTTTGGCAGTTCCCAGGACCGCCCCTCAGAGGCTCAGCCTTGCTGGGACCTTGTCTGAGTCTGTTCTTCTCCTCTTCTGTCTGAAAGTTCTTTCAAGTCACATGCTTACCCTCTTTCTCCCTCCTAAGTGCCTCAGAGACATCACATCTTTGAGGCCACCAGAGAATTCTGCACAGGATTTGCAACTAGATGAGCTGGCAGGACTATCCGGGGGCTAGAGATCCTCTAGGCCAGTGGTGGCAAACCTAGGTCACACATGCTGCCATGGGCTCTTTGTATCACTGAAAGCTCTAAAATGTTTGCCATTACTGATCTAGACCCACCTAGAGGTGATTATCCTTGCCTGGGGCACCAAGACGTCTCTGTGATCCCCAGCCACACGTATTTTCCTTCAGGGCAAAACTACCCACTAGGGAAGTTGACTGATCTGGGTAGGATGCAGGTAATCTGCTCAATGGTCCCCTTTGTGGATAGCTGATGGGGCTGGACAGGGGAGTATGGGACACAGACAAGAGCCATGGGACACTGGTTGGGCTCAACTGTCCCTCCTGGTTTGGAGCAGGCCTCTGCCTCTACACAGATTCTCTTTGCCCCCACAACAAATCACCACAAAGTAGATGGCTCCAGTCATGTGCTGTTTGCTCATAGTCTGCCCACCTGATGGGCTTGATGGGCACTCTGCTTAGTCTCCTAGGCCAAAGGCAGGTGTCAGCAGGCCGGGCTCCTGTCTGGAGGCTATGGGGGAGAATCTGCCACCCAGCCCTGTGGCAGCTGGCAGATCTCTGCTCACAGAACACTCACGCATCCCCATTTCTATCTCTGGTAGCACCTAGCATTTATCTTTGTGACTTTTTATTAACATCTAACTGCAACTAATCTCCATCCTGACAGCCAGTCTCCCAGGAACAAGGACCTGGGGACTCCTGACCCCTCCTTCCCTGCCCCTGTACTCACCATCATTGATCCTCCCAGCCAAGGACTCTGCACTGAATCCAGCAAAGATAACTGTGTGGACAGCTCCGATCCTGGCACAGGCCAGCATTGCTGCCACAGCCACTGGGGACACCGGCATGTAAATGGCCACACGGTCCCCTCGCTGGACTCCATACCTCTTCAGCGTATTGGCCAGGCGGCACGTGGTCTCCAGCAGCTCCCTATAGCACAGGGGAGAGGAAAAGGCAAGGTGAGACAATGCACAAAGGAAGCATGTGCCCAACCCTGCAGGACAGTGGACTCTGAACACTTGTGGCATAGTAAGTTCTTTTCCAGAGAGAAATGGTTTTGACATTTGGCCAATCCCCTCCACCTTGCTAAGTGACAAGGCTGTCCTTGTGTCCACTTCCAGCAGGGCTTCTCAGAGATGGTAAGAAACTATACACAGAACACATTCCATAGACTTGTACAAACGACTGCCTTTGAAAATGGCAAGAAAGACACTCTTGGGAAGGGAAGCCCACCTTTCTGACTCAACACAGACAAAGTGTACTGAGCAACCCTCTTGCCAATCTGGGACCCAGATCCCAGCCTGGGACACAGAGAGTCGGAGTCAGAAGGCCAGGCAGCCACATGCCCAGCACCCTTTCTCCAGGAGTCCCCCCACATTCTGGCCATCGCTAGGTTTAGCCAGCCAATGGGAGCACAGCATCTCATTGGGCAAGATGATTGGCTGCTCTGTGTTAACACGTGGTCCACCCCTACCCAATCAAGTCCATGATACTCAATTCTGAGAAAAGCAAGCCCTGAGTGCACTACTCCATCCAAGTAGAGCCGGAGGTGGAGACAAAAGAAGCCAGAAATGGAAGTGAGCTCACCATTCCCTTTTCTTCTATTCCCACACCACTTCTCATTGGGCTTAGTCATGGGAATTGTGACAGCCAACCGTTTCCTCCTTTTCATTTTATGTGGTTTGATTTTAATTGATGGCAATAAAGAGAACATAGGATGGTTCAGAGGGAACCCAGGCTCCTCTCCCTGGTCCAGACAGCATCAGGCTCCACAAGAGCCTGCCAAGCATGAGGCCTTGGTTCAAAGGGATGCCCAGGCCCAGGATAAAGGTGAAGTTCAACCAGAGCCACCCCCCCAACCCTGCACCAGGAGACCAATCAGAATAAAAATGAACAGTTCCCATCGGTAACAGGGACCTCAGGGAGCCTTTGTTTCTTCCCAAAGCCATTGGAAGGAGACCGCCTGAGAACCAGCCCTGCAGGACCAGCCTACATCTTGCCAGTGCCTCTGGAGGGATTTCATCTTTTCTCCCTGAAGCTTTCAAAAAGAGGACAAAGACACCATTCACCACCCACCCCTTGCCTAAGTTTCCTCAAAAGAACACCCCCGACAAACCCCAAAGCAGAATCCAGGGCCCAGAACACTACTTCTGAGAAAAAAGGCCCTTACAGCACTAAAGAGCTGTGTCAGTAACACAAAGGAACTCCGGGCATTGGAGAAGGCTCCATTCTCACAGTTCTTAGGGCTTAGGCCTCTGTGCAAGGCTAGGGAGACAGAGCTGAGTGCCCTCCACCCAATGGTATGGAAATTCAGTCTTTATTCTGCAGATGTGAGGCAGGGCTGGGGTAGCTTTCTATATTGCTGCCCTGGCCTCTCAGCTGTCATGTGATTGTAAGATAAAGAGTAAGCACCCTCTACTTGGTACAACTGTTTCAAGCATTAATAAACAGAATCCACCCAGGACCTATGCTGATGAATCTTCACTTTCTTTCCCAACAAGTGAAAACTCCCATCAGTGTTTGTTAGAAATCATTTTCTGAAATGACTAAAGCCAACTAACTCACTTTGGTGAATTCCTAAGATGTTAAAAACCCCACACTAGGCACCATGTGAGCACTGGTATTAAAGGAATGAGAGGTAAGCATCCTCCAGAAGCACAGCTGACTGAGGAAGGCTCTAGAGAACAGAGGAGGATGATCATATGCTCTCTGGGGGACAGAGGCCTCTGTATACAGGCAGGTGCCGGAGTAGGGCCTGGTGAGGCCTCGACATGGGCCTCCACATGTTCCTCAGGAGCTCGCTGAGTCTGTTATGTCCAAAGAACAGGCTTCTGACAAAGAATGTGATCCACATAAGTCTCTGAGCCTCATAAGTCAAAGAATTCGATCCAAATAAGTCACTTCCTACTTATTTTGCCATGGCCACACATCCTGAGGTCGACGGGAATCCTTGAAGATCAGAAGGTGCAGCCTCTCTGGTTCTGGAACCCCAACCCACAGCAGTCCAGCCTCTGCTTAAAACTCACCCCACCAGAGGTCACTTCCCAGGGCTGCTTGTCACAGTAATAGGGAGACATCCCTCCTGAAACTGGATTAAAATTCTAGCTGCTCAATCTCTACTCCTTAATCTTGACTTAGTCCTTTAAGCTGCTCAGAACAGACCTGCCGTTCGATGACAGCTCTTCAAATTCCCAAATACTCCCACCCTTCATCCTCTTCAAAGACTTGGCTTTTCCAGGTTCTCTCATCCTCCCTTCACAGTTCTCTCCTGATACGCCCATATTACCAGTAGACATTCACATTCCCATGTCGTCCGCCCAAAGTGCAGTATGGCGACCCAGACCCTTAATCTCTACTTATCTGTATTTGATCAAGTAAATGAAAGATGGTGATGATGATGATTTGCTGTACTGAGGATTGAACCCAGGGATTCATGTATGCTAAGCACATGCTCTACATGAACTACACACTGTCCCAGAGCATACTGATTTTTTTAATATGTGACACAGGTAGCTCAAAATTTAATCCTAAGTCACTAATCAGCACCCTCTAATGCTCTAATGTGCTTCTCTCTCTCTCTCTCTCTCTCTCTCTCTCTCTCATTGAGTTTACTGGTACATTTTCTCCAATGTGCTCTTAAACCAGGGCCACCCATACTAGTCATGGACGTTTTAATTACTTCAGTTGATTAGAACATGTGTTGTAGTACACAATGTTTACATCATCTGTAAACAGTGGTACACCACATACCACATCTCAATTCTTTTTTCATGCTTTACCCCTTCCCTCCCCTGCTGCATCTGTTGATGTGAGTAATCCCCCCGTGAATGATCCAGCTCCTTACTTCTTATTATCTACCTTTTACTTTGCTCTTTATTTTCACTCTGAGTTTCTCATGTAAGAGAAACAATGTGATATTTAAGCATGTGTGATCTATTACACTTAGCACTATGCTCTCAAGTGCACACATTAGGGAAGCTTCTTTTTTTGCATGTATTTTTTACCTAATTCTATCTCAGTTTCTACTCATCTTTACAAGTAACACATCAGTTTTTATGTTCACCTTTCAACTTGTGTCACTGGAAAACATGGTCAGCAAACAGGTCTTCAAGTCATTGAAAAATAAATGTTGTTTGAATGATTCTACCACTGCAGGTACTCAGAAATTGTTTAAATCCATGTAATTGAACATCTGTGGTTTCTCAAAGACTTCCACAGGCAGAAATGCTCCTGCTTCTGTATCAGACAGTAATGCAGGGCTGAGGGTGCAGTTCAGTGGCAGGGCACCTGGCTGGTACATGCAAGGCCCTGGACTTCAACCCCAGCACCAAAATAATAATAATAATAATTAATAATAATAATAAATAATAAATGATAATACAGACACTCAGAGAGGAGATCTCTGGGCTGCAGAGCAAGGTGGGCTTCGTGCAGGACTCGCATCCATGAGTCACAGTACAGGAGCTGCCTGTTCCTGGCTCTGAGAGAGGAGGTCCGTCTTGCCATGTCCCATCCAAGAAATCCATCCTTTCCTCCTTCACCTCCTCTGTCTTCCAGAAACAGCACATTGAAGGAAACACTAAGTTCTGGAGATAGGATAGAAGCATCCTTTCGGATGCTGCATCTGAGACTGTGGAGCAGAGCCCTCCATGGCAGCACACAGGCTGACACAGAAGTGACTGTGCCACGAAGCACCCTGCTGTCACCAGAGTGGTATAGTATGGGACAGAAAGATGCGGGAGGAGGGGGCTCCGGTCACTCTGTGGGGTTCTCACTGTTTCACACTCACCTGCTGCGTGCCTTTGCTCAACAAATATTTATTGAGCATCTTTTATAAGCAGGGCCAAGTTCTAGATGCTAGGAAGAAGGCAATAAATGAAGCCTGAATTTCTTTCCCAGCAGACCTTATACTTCAGCCAGACAGGAGAGTCAGCTATTGTTTACTTCATGAATACTGACAGCCGGAGTAATTGTAGAAAGTGAACAGATTATGCAGGTGTTTGTGCAATTCAGGTTTTTTTTGTTTTTTGTTTTTTGTTTTTTTGTTTTTTGTGGTGCTGGAGATTGATCTTAGGGCCTCACGCATGTGGGGCAAACACTTTGCCACTGAGCTAGGCCTCCTCATAATTTATTTCCTAAACACATGAAATGCAATTTATCTTACTTTCCTAGGCTGGCATCAGGAAATGTCTAGGAGGCGAAGATACTCTAAAACACTCACCATGAAGAACCAGTTTTGACTGGAAGATAAATAAACAAATACCAGTGTATTTCTTCCTCTCTCTTCTCTAAACTCTGTTTCCTGTTTTTGGTTAATCTTAGATTCTGAAGGGGGCAGGGTAGTCTGAGTTCAGGCAGGCATCACGTTGGTTACAGATCTTCACAGTCAGGTATCTTTAGTACTGACCCGAGGCTGTTCCTAGTTGATGTGGAGCTGTCCACAGAAGCTCTGCTTCCTTCCCCTGGAGCCAGTCCGCAGAGTTACTGCTTTTAGGCACCAGGAACACAAAGCCAGATGTGTGTATTTGTGAACATCATTTGCATATGTCCACAAAGAAAGCTGAGTCCTGAGTAGTCTATATTCCAAATAACCTTAAATATTCTTCTCTGTACCTGAACAAGTGTTCTATTACTTAAAAGTCTTTATTTATTTTACTGAGATCATTTCTCAGAAAGCTGCACATTGCTGCACCTTGGGAAGTGCCCTTAGGAGCAAAACAGTAAAGAGGAAGCCAGTGTTTCCTGCAGCTGTGGCCAAAAGCTCTCCTCACTGGGGGGTGCATTACCTCTGTGAGTGTGTGTGTGAGTGTGTGTGGGTGTGTGTGTGTGTGTGGCCTGTCTGTGCGAGGCATGGTCAGCTCTCCTGCTGCTCTGTGACCCACTCCTGCATCATCATTTGATACAGAAGTCTTTAAGAAGCCACTCCTGCT